TGCCTTCCCACCAAACCAGCTAGGAGTCATAACATCATTCAAAATTCCTCCCCGCGCGGCGGATCCACTCCCTGTCGCGCGACTCAAGGGCATCCAGATACTCGCGCTGCGTCTGCGTCTCCAGCAGGCCCGGAAAGAAGTCGCGGGCGATGATGTGGGAGAGGGCGTCTGTGTATTCGTCCTCGTCGAGGACGGTGGCGGGGCGTTTTATGCGTTTGGGGAGCGGGGGTGGGGGCATGGTGAGGGCGTCTGAGGCGGAGGAGGGGCGTTTTGTGAGGGTGGAGGTGGGGGAGGGGGAGGAAGGAGAAGGGGAGGAGGTGGTTATTGGTATGGGGGACTTTGATAGAGACATGGTTGTATTTGCGGTTGATGGTTGCTGTTACTTGGAAAAATGGTCGCAGTCTTTTATGGGTATGGGTTGGAGTGTTAAATGAGTGGATAGTTATGGTTGTACTGGCTGGGTTGCTCCCCGCAGCGTACTGAAATGGTGAAAGTTGAATTGTTGAGGAAGTCAAGCGATGGTGATGTGATCATAGGCATGTGGCGGGAGTTACTTCACGTGAGATTCGAGGCTGAAAATAAGCTTCTGTTCCCGGAAGTTTATTTCCAGCCTCAAGTATTTAATCTATTTTATTCTTCCATCTTTCAACAGACTTGCTTGTTCAACTAATCAATTTCTTAAAGATGAGATAACTAGTTACATACAAAGAATTTCCTTTTATTAAAAACACAAATTACAAAATTGAGCAGATGTCAGATATATAAACGAAAATATCTTGCCACACGAAATAAACAAAAACCAATTCAACCACTCTTTTCACAATAGCTACAAAAAAATCAGACAAATCAGCATCAAGCTATATAATACCTCTCCAACCATTTGTAAATGTGCAAATAATAGGCAAAACAACAAACAGTGGAACAAAGATAAAAACAAAGCTGATGAAAAAAGCAAGCAAGGCAGAAAGTACTGAAACATCTGATTTCTTTTTTATATATCTCTCATTTCCTTCTTCTTCTCCTGCATTTTAATAGTAATAAACTGATAAACCAATATGACCTCCCCCTCTCAAGCTCATACACCACAATTGAGGTAAAGTAGCTTTGCCCCGCCTGCCCGCCCTTTGCCAAAACGAGAGTAAAAATGAAGATATGAAAAAGCCGAACGAAAAGGAAGAAAAAAAAAAAAAAAAAAAAAGAACGGAGCCAACTAATCCACCCGACAAATTCAACCGACAAGAACCCCCTTCCTTCCCACGCATGCACCAAGCCAAACCTAAGGCGAAGGGGAAAAAAATATGAGAACATGAGATGGCGAAGTGAGAAGAAAAAGAGAAATAAGGAAAAACAAAAATTTGCAGAGTGAATGTGAAATATGTAGTGAATAGCAATTTATTAAAAGAATGAATATGAAATATAAAAAAATGGAAAAGGAAATATAGATCGCATAAATAACAAATGACAGTAGGTAGAATGATGAAAGAAAAATCGATAAAATATATATGCAAATGATTATGCGATGTATATGTATGTAACAACATGAAGTTATGATGTAGTAGGTAGATAGGTAGGTAGGTAGGTAGGTAATATAAATGCTGCGGCAAAGAAAAACAATGAAATGAAATGAAAATAAAAGAAGGTCGTGGCTCATGAGATCAAAAAAGGCTGACTGAGTGTGTGTGGGTGGGGTATAAAAACGAATGTCTTTGCCATATATGTATATGGACTTTTACGAAAAATAAAATGAAAAGGCAGGGTAGGCAGAGTGGGCGGGGAAGCAAAGAGGGAAGTAGACGATGTGTGAGTGATTGATGAATAAAACAAATAAAAAACGAGGTCATAAATGCCAGCAGTATGTAAGGGGATGAGGGACGGTAAAAAACGATCGAGCTTTTCCTTTTTTGATGTTACATCAAAACTTTTCCGGGCGCGACAAGATCAGGAAACAGGAAAGGAGGGGAAATGAGAGAAGCAAGAAAGAATGAGGGGGAAAACAAACCAACTGCCGTCTATCTATATAGGGGTACAAGTTTTTGTTTTTTAGGCAAGAATGGAGAAATGAAAAAATGGGATGTTTATAAAAAAGGGGAATAAGAGAAAAAATACTATGCGAGGTAATGTACCGGTAGTGAAGTTATACAGGCCAAGAGGGGGAGTCCTTTCACCCCTCCCTCCAGAGTACCACAAGAAACGAAATTAGCGGTCAGAGTGCGAACCCACATCCCCAACAACGGTGAAACTGTGTTGCTCTTTCCCTTTCTGCTCTGCATTTATATTTTTTCTTCACCGCGATGCAGGGGCGACGGGCGCGGGAGCTGCCGCAGCTGCAGTAGGGAAAAGCGAGTATGACTTCCGAGCCCTCCGACCGCTGGACCCACGGGTGATGGTGGCAGATCGCTTTCGGGGCTCGGGGGCTTTAGACTTTACAGGGGACGTAGGCTGGCGCAGGTCCAGGGCGGATACAGACTTGGCACGATCGTGGTACGGCATTGTTGGGGCAGACGAGATGCCGGAGGTATAGCTATCGATGGAATTTGGAGAGATGCTGGGGTTTGATCGCTGGGTCAGCTCGCGCGCTAGACTCTTGCTTCGTTGATGTGTGGTGATTGGGCGTGGGCGGGGGACGGGGGAAAGCGTGGGTGCGGGCAGGGTTTCCTTTGTCTGCTGCTGTGGGTGTTGTTCGCCGGCAGAGCACACGGAGTCGCGGTCCAAGGCCGAGTGGCTGCAGTTGGAGCTATGCACTAATTCGGGAACACTCGTTGTGGATAGCGAAGAGCGATGCTTTCGTGCGACCGATGCTGCGCGGGACAGGATAATGCTTTCCTCTGAGTTGCACTTGCTAATTTCGGAGCAACTGCCGCGAGGAGAATCGAAGGGCTCGTCCACCTGGACATGGGCATACAATGGATAATTTTCGTCGACTTTTTGGTCGATAGGAATCAATCCATGGTAGGCTTGACTTGAGACAATGTCATCTCCAAATGGCGAAGACAAGATGGGAACATGCTCGTCTCTGAAGTAATCAGCCTGTGACAACGTATCAATTTGAACACACGGGAGAGGACTTGTCGAAGTCATTGGGGTAACATCATAATTTGGGGTTGTGAACGATGGTGCTGAAAAGGAGCTGGCATTGATGGTGTTCTGGTCGCTGTGTTCTGATCCCTCACGGCTGCCTTGATTCTGGATTGCAATTGGCGTGTCAGGGTCAGCCGCGGAGCTTGCATGAATAGTCAGCCTCTCGAGTTTCGACTTCATTTCCACCTCTTCAAACGAGGTGCGTCGCCAATCGAAATTCGAATTGGACTCCGCAGCATGCTCATAGCAATAATCGATGTCGTCCTCCCAAGACAAGTCATCCAGAGGGCGTTGGAATATCGATCGCCGCTTGTTCGATTTCCACCTCTTCTGTGCAAAAGCTTCATTAGAGTCACCATGAAGTGTTGGGATCGTGGGTGATCCGAGCGGCTCTGGTATAAGTTGTTTAGGCGAAGGTACTGCCGGTAGGGGTTTATCGAAGTCGACTCTAGGAGTGGACTGGCCAAAGCGGAATGGCTCCGAAGAAGTTGCGATAGTAGAGTTTCGGGCGTCATTATTGCGGGACATAGCAGTCTCGTCCTCCTCTGGAACATCTGCGAGATCAAAGGCGAGGATGTTTGATGGCGACCGAGTCATTACTGGCATATCATCATCGGGAATGAGAGTATGTCCGACATCGGGGAAAACGCTGGGGAGATCTAGCTTTGGCAAGTGTTGTTCTTGCGTATCATCGTACAGTGTCTCTGGGACCGCGAAGGTCGAGTGAAGGCCAAGCAGGGCATCAATGGTTTGAGGTGATGGCTCGGGGATGTCAGGTGTTGCTAGCTTTGAAGATGATCGAGGAGGCGCAATCATCGAGGGTGGCGATTGTTGCCTCGACAGTCGGGACACTGGGCGAGAAAAGTTCTCGACTGATCGAGAATTGAGGTGTGATTGAAGCCTAGAAGGAGATGTAGGTGAGGTGCGTACATCAGACGATGTAGGGCGGCTATGGGCGTGCTGGGACCTTGAGTCTGAAGTGCACGGGCTGGCATCATTTTTGATGGAGATATTGTCAGAGGAAAAGTTTTGGAAATGTAAGCTTTCAGCCCTGATTCCCTTCAGCTCGTGGCCAGGACGCTGGGAGGCTCTAATGACGGAGAATTCCGTAACTATATCATCAAGCTGGCAACTATCCATAGGCGGGAGCTGACTAGGGCTTGTGTGTGTAACATGTTGGAAATCGAAGGGGTCAGAGATATTCTGTTTTAGGGAATCTATTATCGTGAACAAAAGGAACAAACCCAGCCAATGTCAGCTAAGATTCCAACGTTATACTGTTATGCATACGCTTCTGCCAAAAAAACGAAAAAAAAAAAAAAAAAAAAAAAGGAAAAAGGAAAAAAAAAGGAAAGGACACAAACACGTACGGGTGCCGCTGTGTCGCGACCTGTGGCTGCGATGGAATATTCCAACGCCATCCATCCTCTGGGATGCAGAGTGAGATCCTCTGGCCATTTCGTCTTCCTCGTCTAGGGTTAGGGTGGAAGAAATGCTAAATTTGCTTCCCTTGCGCCGAAGAATGCGACTGCCGCGCGACAGGAAGGACTTTGCGGTGCTTGCTTCTTTCTCAGAAACGAGGGAGGTGGCACTGGAAAGGGTTCGACCGTCTTGAGAAGATCTGCGCGACGCGGAGTCGCCGCTGGTCAGAGACGAGGCCGGGGACTTGTAGGAGGAGGAGCTGGAGGTGGCAGTATTGGATCGAGAGCGAGCACCGAAGACAGAGAGGCGGATAGGACTACGGGTGGAGGATCGCGAGCGGCCTACAGCAGGGGATTCAGGGACGGTGGAGGTAGATGACATTGGCGGCGGCAAATGGTCACAGCTTTGGTTGTAATACCATTGCGAGCCGGGGGAAGAAAAGGAGGAAGTTGACGCAGATGCAGACGCAGACGCAGACGGATACGGAGTATTATTATTTTTATCAATGCTCTTCTTGCCGTGGTTTTTGTTGTCCTTGCTATTCCTGGTGTTAATGCCAATCGCACTGGGAACAGAGTCAAACATGACAGGAGGGAGTCAATGGGGCCACCACTATTCCGCATTCGACGAGGATGGAGGAGGAGAAGGAGGAGGAGGAGGAGGGGCGGGCGGGCGAGCAGTGCGACGGAGGGATATGAAAGGACCCCCGTTGTCATTTAGTTTAATCCTGTCCTTGTCCAAAGGAAGACGCGAAGCCCGGGGGGAGGGAGAATTAAGGAACCAGGGCACCTTGAAGGGGAAAAAATGGGATGGGGGCTAATATCCTGGGGGAGGACGAGCAGGAA